ATACTATGCTAAAAAACACACAACCAATTCTGAAACTCACAGAAAATATTACAAATATCAACATGAGTAACACTATACTACACATGGGTTAACTGTCCAGGTCAGAGACCCTCATAATTCAAGCATAGCCATCTCTAATTTTAAACTGCTGACCAAAGGAAGAGCAAACAGTCAGCAGCACCCTCCACCTATTATGTAGTTATTTCTAAATGAAATAGCAGAATTAACTATCACAGTTCTAATGAAACCAAAACTCAAACTTCAGGACATGTTCAATAGCATATCGTGTGTCTCAAACTTTTGACCTTCAACTGTGATTGCCCATTATAATAAGTAATAGCTTCTTTTATTTTCCATATTGTTTTGTATGAATTTGTCTGGTATTATGTTATCAGCCAATTTGATGCTAACAGCAATATTCCAGGCATGATATGCTAGAAAAACAGCCTCAGTATTATAGTTCTAATGTCCATCTTACACATGCATACAAAGTAAGCAATTAACTTTTCACTCTCACTATACACAACATTTTAGTCAAACATTTTAATCAAATAATACCTTTCATAAGAAGAGAGTAGCCTTGAGAATTGTATGTTAAAACCATTAACAATATGTCTCAGTTTCTCTTCCTCCTCATGCCTTTGATGTATTTTGTTTATTTGTAGTTTTTTCTAGATACTGCATACAGATAATTCTTAAATAATAAGAATAATGTGGTAATTTTCTTGTTCACCGTTGTTTTGCTACAAGTCATCTTTTGTAGTTACACTGTTGCTTAGTAACAGTAATTGAATCATTTCACTGAGGAACAACAGTTACATACAATATAATATAATAGTAGCTTGACAAATAATTGTGTTTTAATGTCTCAAAACACTTAAAACTTCAGGTTTATAACCATCTGTATAAGTTTAAAAGAATACTGCATTTCATTAATTAAAAAATTGTGTAAATAATTGAAAAGAATGTTTCATTGGTCCTCATTTATGGCTAATACTATATCAGTTTTATAGGAGGCTGGATTTTTTACAGTAGGTGTCTGTGACTTGTTGGCGATAAATTTCAACACTAATTGAACAGTATACAATCCACTTGTTTTAAAATAATATATTCAAACCAATCCAAACATATGTACAAAAAAAATTATTTATACTGTAGGTTATAACAGTTGAATATAGAGCTTTAACTAATTCACCTTTTCAATAAAGTCCACACAGGCTGGTTCACTTAAATTAGAACCCAATTGACAAGACAAATTATTTCTTCTCTTCTCTGTTATCACAATATAATCAGTGATAAATTAACTTACATTACCCCATGTTACAATACAATCTGTGAAAGGTTCACTTTAGAAATCTCCTGTTACAGCTAAACTGACAATCACGCAGTATAACTTCACTTTTACATTCACTAACTTACTTTCCTTTCACTAACTTGCTTCCTTGCTCTATATCTGCATGTAGTTATAACACATGACAGAAAAATCTAGAAATATCTAGCCCTCTAGCTGCAACAATATTACACATAATGAGAAAAACTCAGAAGCTTCGAGTAAGATGACGCAACAGTATTACAAAAGCCTTGTACAATAAATAAACTACATACTTAATGTGAAACTGATACAGAGTTACATAACGAAACTTGTCATAAGTAATCTTTAACCCACTTATGAAAACTAAGTAATAATTAAATATTAAATCACTAAATAAGCTAAATAATAAGTCTGAAACTGAACAGTCTTATAAATCCAACATAATACATGTTATATTATGGATTGGGAAAATGAAAAAAGCAGTTTAAAGTAAATGTCTAATATACTTTTCAACAGGTGAAAAACATACAGATTATTCAACATAAATTTTAAAGCCCCTTACACATTTTTATTCATTAATACATATCAAGTTATTTTGAGAAAATTCAATTGGTAAAAATACACAAGTTCTCCATTTATTAGTGATTTGAAAACATCACAGTTTTTACCAAAATACGACACACTCACATTAGTTTATATCAGGCATCAAGTCCATATTATGACCAACCTAGATTTACAACATCAGTCCAAAAAGGTTTACAGTAAATGATGGTATTTGATAAATCCAAGTACGTGTTTTGTTGGAGAGACTGACGTGGTGTACTTCTTATTAACATACCAACCTGCAACTTGTTTCAAATGAAAAATGTATTTGAAGCATTAAACTTTCTTTTAACTAAAGCAAATGTTTCTCTTGAGGTTTTTGCCAAAATAAGAAGCGGAATAGCCACATAAGCCTAATAAAGTTACAACATCACTTATCAAAAACAAATAAGTATACTCTTAAATAAAACCTCATATTATGTAATATTTATTGATAAATTAATTATAACTTCCTGGTATGAAAAATAATACATTACAAGTGAAATGTGTATTGTTACGTATAAACTTTGTTCTAATAATCACGTGATGATATAAAATCTTGTTAGTAACTTGTGAAAATCCTGTAAATACGAAAAAGTAACAACCACAAAAAATACACATTACATATCAACTGTTGCAACCACTGATCTTTAACAGCATACTGATATAGAAATACTAAAATATTCTAAATTAAATACTAGGTAAAAATATATTTTACAAACATGATGTTCAGTGACCACCAACTGCCATTCTCAAAAATCTGTCTAACATAATGAGTTCCAAAAATTAGCCATTTGTGTGAATGAAGTTAGTAACAACATATAACAATGTCATGATAGAAGTACCATTGGCAGTGCTTATACCCACATAATTATATCACTGGTAAACAAATTCTGGTAATGCACAAAAATTTGTAGAATTCTTTCTTCAAGCAAAACAATTACATGATAACATAACTCAGACAAAATAGAGCAATGCTGTGGGCTAATTCACTTTTAATCATAACAAATATTTCTTTAGTCTAATGAATAATAAAAAATTGTACATTTTATGCCCAACCAGTTCCATGAACAAAAACACTTTTAATACTCATCAGTTCCTTTAGGAGTTAAAGAAGGATTAGAAAAAAAAATGTATACTACCATTTATGTAGCAGCATCTGTGTTACGAATTGCTATATATTTATCGGGGAAATGTATACATCTCCAACTCATTTACACAGTTATCAAACATCATAAATCTACTGGCTTGTCTGTGATCCACTCTAGGAAAACAATTTAGTTGATTTCTCTGAATGAATTAAAACCTTTACTATTAGATGACCAAGTTCAAGCTCTTTTTGATTTGTTTATTAATTCACTAGTACTTACTGAAGTAGTTCTGGAATTGACTAAGCCTATATTTTACATCATAACTGTTTCTCTTTATCTATAAATGATTAATAACAGAGATAATCTAGAAATAGTTGAGTAATTGGTCTAGATTATTTCAGAAATGATTTCTTCAAAAATCCTCCAATAAAAATATTTTATCAATTGTGACTCCAGCTTATTAACTCTTATTTTGTTAGCATTTGTTCTCCTATTTCTTTAATTTTCTAATGATATAAAATAGATGTTTTTAATTACTTTTACTACCAGTTATGTATTTGCATCTGTTGAATATGTCATACTTGATAGCAACAAAACCAATTATGCTTATGCACATTTGACTGTTTTAGCAATACAAATTTCCAAGATACATTCATACAGACCCTGGAGAAGGGCAATTTATGGTCACAAATGTTCCAGTATGTGGATAAGTACTTTAGGCCCAATTTCAAATCTGGTGTCACATTTTTCTGAAGAACGTTTTTCTGATTTGTCCCTGTCCGGGGTTACTGGATGAAGGATAGAATTCCTCAAAATCTGTATAACTCAGTGTAAAGTAGTGAATCGATTGGTAGATTAGCTCCAAATTTATTTTTGATATCAGTAAGCAAGGGAAAAAAAATTTTAACTTTATCATATCTCATCCAAAAGTTACTATTGAAGTACTAACAAACAACTCACGTATGACATAAGACTCCAAGGCCTTTGGCACCAATTTTCGAGCTTTTTCCAGATCTTCAATACTACAAATACCCTTATCTAGATTGTATGCCAGTTCCATTCTTTTGAGAACCTCTATATCATCATGGATTTCAAAAGTATCATCAAAATTAAAAAGGTATTCTGTCCTGTGAAGAGAAATGTCATTGTTAAAGGACTTGCTATATAACTTCACTGTACAAAGCATTATTGTACCAACACACCTAGAATGCATACAACATATAACTTTACTAGTTATTTCTTATTGAATTATTGTTCTAAAATTGTCTTGATTATTCCTATACAAAAATTCATCACCATTTGGTAATTTAACAAGTTATTTTTCTGAAGTGCTTTTGTATAGATTTATGTATCTATTTATTTTCTCTAAGAGAATGTGAATTCACTAAATAAGTAAACATATGCTTACAAAAATTCCTGGTAAAGTAATTTTGGATTTTACTTTACTTTTAAACTTTTAGCAAAACATAGTTATTGTCTTTTTGTTAGTCATTCTTTTGTACCTTATAATACATTGTTGACTGAAATTACATATATATATATATATTTTAAGGTTTTTTGATAAAACGTTTATTTTCCACTTTGCTTCACATTAAAGCAAAAATATTGAAGAATTTATGTATAGTGTGTGAAGCTTGCTTAGTGGTATACTAATAGAATGCAACTGTATATTTGGTAACATGTCGCATTTTGGAACACTTTCATCAACCACCCCCCCAAAAAAGATAATTTATGTCACGTATAATAGTTACATGAACCATCGAAACGTCACGTTAGTGTAGCCTACATAATGTGTAAAGTTTAGTATAGTCTAGTACCTTATAGTGATAGCACACGACAAGACACACATTCGGCATGTAATGCTGTTTTAATACAAGAAGAGAAACAATGCCTCTGTAGCCACAAATAATATCAAAGAAGTTTAATGAAATGTTTTGAATGTTTGTAAGTGTCAACAATAGTTCAGCAAATTTCGTTCAGGTGACTTTAGCCTTAAAAACTGTGATGGCAGAGGCCAACATGTTGGAATTGATATTGATGCTCTGAAGATGCTTGTTGAGTCTAACCCAGGGCAACACATCCCTGAAATTGCATGTCTCTCAGGAAACAATATGTAAGCATCTAAGGAATATGGGAAGACTCCATAAAACAGGTGTTTGGGGGACTCGGAACTCTCCAATGATCATCATTTTCCAACATGTGAACATTGCTTTGTCTCTTCTGGAGCGTAATGAGCGTGAACCATTTTTGGACATTATTGTCACTGGTGGTGAAAAATGGATTCTCTATGTGAATATCAAATGCCAAAAACAATGGCTCGGTCCTAGACAAAAACCATTTCTGACTACATAACCTGGACTACATCCACAGAAATTGATGCTATGCATTTGGTGGGACATCAATCCACAGCAAAATGTCAATGCAGAGATCTCTAGTCAGCAACCGGAATGTTTAAATCAAGCCCTTCATCAGAAACACTCGTCAATCGGAAAGATGTTCTTCTTCTCCACGATATTGCATGTCCACATGTGCCACGTTTGACATAACACAGGATTATGGAGTTGGGTTGGGAAGTTCTCCCCCACCCACCTTATCCTCCAGATACGGCACCATCAGATTACCATCTTTTTTGTTCGCTGCAACACCATCTTAATGGGAGAACGTATGCAAATGTGGAAGGAGTCAAAAAGGACAGCAACATGTTTTTTGCTTCAAAGCCAAATTATTTTTTTAAACAGGGCATTAACAACCTGATTGTAAAATGGAAAAGCATCATAGATAAGAATGGAGACTATTTCATTTAATAAATGTTTTCTTTTGATATGTTTTCACCTAAAAAAAGCGACATTAATTTCTTGACGACCTAATATACAAAAAAAAAGAAAAAGTAAAAGTAAATTTCACTTCATTTTAACATGCAGTTTGCAAGAATTCATGAAGAAACTGGTTTTAGTGAGAATCTGGTTTTTTTTCAACTTAAATGTTATAGGTATTATATTCTTCTGTGACCATCTCAGAACAACAGACAAGAATAAACAGGGTAAAATAAAACATTAAGTTAGATGGATAACTAAAATGTGTCCAAAGCCTAAACTTCAGGGATTATATGCAAAACAATAAAATAATCAGAATCATTTATAATAATTTAACTAAGACAAAACAAAACTACTGAAGCAAGATAATATCAATCATTCTCTCAGTTCATTCTTATGCAAATCAGGCAGATGATGATCCATCACACGATGGCTGTTTGTTTAGCATCTTTACAATTCCTAATATTTCATTTCAACATGAGGAAGAGCAGTGTGGCATCAATACTGAATGCTCAATTTAAAAATGTTGATAAAGTCTTCATGTGGCCTCAACCATTCTTTTGAAAGAGTTGTTTTCAGGGCATCTTTAGCATCTGGAGTCAATTAATCTCATGTAACCTGTCTTCCAAGAGCATTCCAAACATACTAGATATGACTGATATCCAATGAGCATGCATTCAACTAATTTCCTCTTCTTTAAGGAATGTGTCAGTTATTTTGTCACTATGAGGATGGATGTTATCTTTCAAAAACCTGAAATCATAGTACTATGCACCAGTGATTAACTTAAATTTCACTTTCACTTCATTTAGATTTAATTTTGAGGGATTTCCATATTACAGAATTCATTTTTCGTAGGTGGGGCACACCAAGCTAATAATAATTTAATAATAAGGTATTCACTACATTTTTCAGTTTGATACATATCCAAAATAAGCATTTAAATATTGTCTTGTACTGTATTGTGTTTTTTTACAAACTTGAGTATTTGTGTTCCATCTCTTCTTTTATGATGAACTTGCTTCAAATTTGAGGAGAAGCACACTCTGTAACTCAGTATTCTTTAGCTTCCAATTAGTAGGCCTTAACTTAGTACTTTCAGGTAAACCCACGAGTAAGCAAATACTACATCCACAAGTTTCTAACTATTCAAATTTGTATCATTTGTGCTGGTGTTGTGATAGGGTAGAGAAAGAGAGAGAAAAAATTGCCCAATTCCTAAAATCAATGATGTATGAAACTACTACAAAGTATGAGACTAATTTTCAAAATCTGAATGGGGAAAACTACACAAAAACTGCAGAAATTAGAAATTCCCAAGAGTAACAACTCTTTAGAGATTCTGTAAACTTAAAGATTATGGTTTCATGAAACATCCTAGCATATTCTGGCCTTTTTATGTTCTTATTAATGATGGTACTTCTTTTCACAAAAACAATGTCTGATCAAGTTTTAAAGATTGTCTGAAGTAAATTACTTTAAAAATACATATAAAAAAATACTCAATGTAACAAAAAATTCAATAAAATAAAATACAACAAATGATAAACATATCTTATAGTGCTCACTACTGATTTCATAAAAAAATGTTAATTTTAGCATATAGTTCATGAAACAAACATTCATTGAAGTTTATCTTCTCAAAGGGCTAACAAAATTTGGCACTTAATGACTATTGACTTGAAAATGTGTGAACATAATCATAGCTTAAGAAAAATATGTGAACTGGTTTGAAAAGCCACTTCAACCAAAATTAGTGTGTGGTGTTGCTGATGCAATCTTAGTTGACAAACAAAACCTCAAGACCATAATCCACTGAAATGGATTGAAAAAAGGAAGAAATTGTGAAGTATTAAGCAAATTAATTTGTCATTATTATTCTTTGTGTTATATTTTAAAAAAATATTACATGCTACTTATATCATAAGGCTCTTGTAATGCTATTTTCTGGGTGTGTCTTTTAACTATAATAGCTTAAAGGTGTGTTTTAGCAAGCTATATTTTCCAAATTTGTATGTTACAAGCATACTTGTGATGTAGAACTTTGCTGCACTGTAATGACAAAAAAACTTGTGATTTTCGTGATTTTGCTAATGGATAAATGTTGTTTATGGAGGAATTCATAAGTTTTTATTCTGAAAATAGCATATGAACATAACAAAAATAGAAACAGATTTTAGAGATAATGAATTGCTACTTACTTATCATTGGATATGCTGCAGTCAATCACTGTGCTTTTATTTGTATTAACAATGATGAAAGGTAACTGGATAGTGGTGTTAGGAGCTGGAATATTAAGGTTTTTCTCCATATTCTTATTGCGTTCCACTAAGTTCTTGAAAGAAATTTGCTAAAAACATGAATATAATTACTTTAAAAATTTTATTCCGATCAATAAGAAAGGAAAGGTTGATTATATTATCAAAAATATAGAGTCACTATCAATTATCAACAAAATGACCAAGTTTGAAAAATATATTATTTTCATAAATATTTAGCCTTACAGTAGGGAGAATTAAGTAAAGTAAATGTAAAGTTTAAAATCAACTAACTATCTCCTTATGTTTCGTGATGTTAAATAATACTTAGAAAAGGAACACACAAGAGTGATAACTTTACTATACTTGAAATATAAATAAAAAAAGCAGATACATTGCTTTGCTACAATTTTTTTTAAAAAAATTAACCATTTCACTAGTCAAACTTCATTGTTAATGTTGGATATCATAAACATACTAGAGAAAACAAAACATACATTTTTACTTTACCTGAAGTATGAGGTCTTGCAGCTGTTGCTTTTTCACTCTTATCCTTTCTAATCTTTTCTTTTTCTCGATCTAATGTACAACAAAGTACATTTTTGAGGCAGTAATATTAATACACATATTTTTCTTTATCCTAATCTTTTTTTTTTGCATGCCTAACTAATAGCATTTCTTAATAAAACAAAACATTAAATATAGATTAGTTTTATGTAGTTCAATCTTTCAACTTATTTTAGTATAAAATCTAATTTCTTTTTTGTAGAGAGGATAAAGATGAAACAGCAATAATAGTAAAAAAAAATACTTGAAACTGTGAAACTACATACTATAGCAAAATTGGGGAAGCTTTTAGTAAAAATTAAGTCTCTTGTATACAAAAAAGCTGATTTTTTTTTATAAAAGTCAACATTTTCTTAAATCAAAAATGCATTTCCAATAATACTTACCTCCTCTCACACTGCAGCTATTACTTTACTGCTAGGGTTTCTTTATCTTTGCCCATCTAAGCACTGGTCTGATTTTTTCTCTCTTGCTCCAGTCTTTTATTCCCCACTTAATTGCCCTTGTGACACTCTCCACCTACATCAATGCACCCTCTATTTTGGTATTGTATATAAGCACCTCCTTCAGATAATATTGTCACTTTTTCAAGACTGACCCAATCTGCAGTCTCTAACACTGGCTCTTTGTGGGGAAGAAAGTTACAATTCAAGAAAATGTTAACTTCCAAAGCATACTTACCTCAACTCACACCACAGCCAGAACAAGTATACTCTTCACCTGGAATCTAAATCCTGCACTGTGGAAGGAAATTGACATGATTCATCATCACCATTGGCCATGCCCCAACAAGGTAGCCAAGGTCTAACTTTTTGAGGTTGAAATTATAGGGCCAAGATGCCTAAATCCTACATTGGTGGCTGAGGCATTTGGATCACAATATATACAGTGCAGATATATTTGTGAGTGTATCAAAACCTGTAGCTATAAATGATGCATTCCAAGCCATTGTAATCATGATGAGAAGGTAAGCAACACCAAAGTGGATACACCCTCTCCTCAACTTGAAGAAGGCAATACCCTAAACTTGGAATGACAAGATCTTGTATGCCATACTCAACCTGAGGAAACAGAAATCATCCAGTCTGAAATTATGAACACTCACCCTCACTCCCCAACCACGTGAGCAAGGAAAACTCCACTTGCCCCAGGAATTATGGGGAAAACGTGGGGCTGGTAGAGATCCTGATGAGTAATAAAATCGAATCAGATATACATGTGTCCCATGCTTGGTATTGCTGCCGCACAAAAATATAGCTTATAAAAAGAAAAAAGAAAGGTATCAGATTAATTTAGTCTAATCCTGTCTAAAAGAATTTCAAGTGCCATGGCAACTGAAGCTTCCCTCTTCTTCAGTATGATTTTGGTCATCATGTTGACAAAAAAATATAGAAGTTTTGGTTCAGGAATTTTGATTGGAGAAGAAGATGACACATCTTTCTACAGTTAATATAAAAAAAGGATTCCCTGATCCACCAGAAATCACTAGAAAGTACCTATATGTTGTGACATTCAAGAACAGGTTCACTATAAAAAAATTTACATTCACTTACTAACAATCCAGAACTGGCTCTGATAATGACAAAAAAAAACACTAACCTAAGTCAGAGTGGTCATAGTGGCTTTTTGTGGTTTGCCTGTCACTCATAATTAAGACTAATTATTGTGAATTATGATTTTTATTGAAGTGTTTGTTTAGCAACTCTTCTGGTAGTAGATGTCATGTAACTATTATAAAAAATTTACCTTCATGTTTTAACAATCCAAAACTGACTTTTTTATAACTTTACCTCTAGGTTCTGACACTCCTGAGCTGAATTGGTTGGTAAACCCTGCCATTTGATCTCCTTCTTCTCTTTAGAAATAATGTTCATGGCCATCAGAACATTTAGGGCATCATAAACTCTTCTTCTAATGTTCTTTTGATCATATGACTAGACAAAAATTGAGGTAAATTTGGCTTAAGAAACAAGCAGTATATTTATAATGTGAATGTTTTTGTCAGAATACAATGGTGTACAGCTTTTCACTGATATAAGTTAAAATAAAAAAATTAGGAAAATACAATAAACATTTTTTAGCATACAAGTACTATGTTAATGCATATTATTTAATATTCAAACATCACTTTTGTAACGCTCATACCAGTTTCATTTAATATGTCAAATATGATATCTATTGTTGGGCCATATTCCAACTACAAATCTTAGTCATAGGTATATACCTATCAGTAAAAATCCCATCTTAAGAAAACAGTCTATAGACTACCATAATTGCTATAAAACACAAAAACACGGTTAAGCTTGATTGTCTATTACTAACTCTTGTAGATATATTTTTACTTTTAAACTGAATTACAAATAGAAAACAAACTGGGAAATTATCATCTTTTTTATTGAACAAATACCTGAAACACTGTTAGCTTTTCATAATAAAATACTTTTACGAAGTCTTTTCTTTATCAGTAATTTGTATTGAAGAAAAACAAATGGGGGTTTAAATGTAATAATATTCACAAGCACATTTATTTTTTTCCTATTACAGTAAAAAGTATCATTAACTACTCTTATAACAAACTAATTAATTTAGATTTATAATTTGAGCTAAGTTGGAATTGTTGTATTTCTCCATGACCAGAATGTCTGCACATAATTTTGTGCGATTATACATGGTTCACACAAACCTGTAATTTTTTTCCAGAACCTTTCAGGTTTTCAAGGAATATTTCTATTAAAATTGTTTCAGGTTTTTTCATTTGTTGTTAAGCACAAAGCTACACAATGAGCTATTTGTACTGTACCCACCAGTGGGATCAAAACCTGGTTTTCAACATTATAAACTTTCAGACTTATGAGCCAATGGAGAGCATTGTTTTATGTCTCAATTTAAAAAAATAATGAAAATTATATAAACTGAATTTTTTATGATGCACCAGTAGCATCATTTTTTGACTATAAATTCATATGACTGTTCACACTGTATCTGAATTTATTTGCAATTTCACAATACAACCTAAAGTCATTTATGATGCAATGTCTGTTGTCTTTGGATACTTGTTTACTGAATGATAATGTTGACCATGAGCCAGGTAGTGATTTCCTTAAAAACCAGTTACTAGGATAGATGACCCCTCTACCCATAAATTGAGGTGGTTAAGCAACAGATTTTTGTTGAGAAACATTTTGTTGATCGATGATCTTAATCATAAAGAAGTTTGAATACAACAGTGAGTATTACTGAAAGCATCTGTTTGAATCAGGTGAAACACAAGTTATGGCCAAAAAATATAAAGGAAAGACAATAATGGATTACTTTGGCCCAATCCAAAAGTACCATAAAGATTTGTGTAAAAAAAAGTTTGTCATTTAATCTTTTGCACTTGAGCTTTTTTCATTTTTGGTCAAAAGACTGAGAAGTACGGTTCACATATTTCTTTAAAACATTAAAACAAATAAACTTTTTCTCCTGAAGTGAATAATTTTGATAATTTTGCAAGGTCCAACTTTAAGTTAAATTCAATGAATTTCATATGACTAGTGCTTTAAGTTTTGATTGTAAACTATTGTACTCATCAGTATTTGTTTACAAATTAGTGCTTTACCCAAGACACACGGTAATGTGTCATGTAGTCAAAACAACCTGCTGCAGGACACAATGTGTGTTATTAACGGGAGAAATATTTTAACGAATTTCTACCTTCTGTATCATAGTCTGTGGTAATCCAAAATATTGCATATTTTCAGTGGATATGCATACTGTACCCTTACTTCACATACCAAATTTCAAAGCAATCCATTAAGAGATACCTGAGATATACCATCTCCAATTTTGGTTGAGTTGCTTCCTTTTTTTTTCTTTGCACCAAAAGTATGGAAAGTTTATTTGATAGAAAAACATACTTAACTTTTATAGATTTTTTCAAATTTGGTACATTGATATATTAATTCAATCTACAATTAGGAGTCTCATTTGGTGTAAATATAAGCCACGTGTGCAAAGTTATTCAACAAAAATTGCTCAAATTTTATGAACATTTTTGCATACACCCACACAAAAAGTCATGTGAACTATCGACCTAACATTTTAAATACAGCTTCAACTAAGAGTAAAAGTGGACTGTTTTTAGTTTTTTGTCATTCAGATTAAAGACAATTGATTTAGAGCAACAGAACTATAAGGTGAAAGGATGTGCAGATAAACAAGTTTTGGCCAAGAAAACTAGATTAGCACTTTCTAGCTCAAGTTTTCAAAAGAATCATAGGGGTGGATGGTTATTATTAATTATTCATTGCTAAACTTTTCAGCAGAAATTTACTAAATTTTATGAAGTTATCCTAATTAAAGAGTGTTTAGCATTACATGATATTAGCTTAAGCAGTTAGCTTAAATAATGATGCTTGATAGAGCTTTACCGATTGCATGGGGGTGATGACAAGAAACTGTAAATCTTAATTCCATGGCATTACTATAAAGGAAGCTATTAACACTGTTTTAGAGAGGAAAAATTATCATCATATATTTGAAAGAATCTGTTTGGTTCTTTAAAGTAAAGGTCTGTTCTGAATAATAGGATTGCGCTCCTAAAGCAAATGTGGGTTACTATCGAGTGTTACTTTCTTACTTTCTGTGGTTTGTTGATGTGTATTGAAAAAAAGTCATGATATCTAATCAAAAACACCTTAGGTGCAAAAAAAAAAAACGATTTGTTATCCTAGTTTAACTGATAATTTATCACTTCATTTAAAACCAAATACACAAGTCATACATCAAAATGTTTTAAAAAACGAAGGTGTGAAGCTAGCTCAAACATCTACATCTTTCCCTTTACTAGATTACCATATAAAAATGTGTACAATGTATCACTTTAAAATAAACTTTTGAAGTTGTAGAGTAAGAATAAGCTGAAAATTTATTCATACTGCTATGGAACAACAAATTTCTCTTAAGAACTGTATTATTAACTTGTAAAAAGTTTGTTCACATATAGCAAAGAATTTTGCTTAAAACTACAGATCAAGTTTAAATAGTCAGCAAAAAGAAATAAAGGAATAAAATCAGTCAAACCTCACCTGATCACTGTGGGAAAGTTGTCTCTGGGGGTCTGTAAATTCTGCTACTAGTTCATCAGCCACTTCATTGTATGAAGTAGTTCCCTTCTTTTGAACTTTTTCACACACTTTCATGGAAAAGTGACGTAGCCCTTTACCACTTTTCTCTCCTTTCCTACTTCTTTTGCTGTAAAACAAAAAAGTTATAACTTTCCTATACTGAAAATGTATTTCCAAGAGTTATTAACCTCCTCTCACATAAATAGCTATTTTCATTCAGTGCTGTGAAAACAATATGCAAAAATTGTTTTCACATGCCACAAGCCTTCAAGCTCCCACCCATCTATGAATTGACTTATTCAAATGTGTCTCGCACGCAAATCATCATGCAACAACTCTCCACCAACACAAGTGCAAAACAATATTCAATTCTACCAAACTATCAGTTCGAGTTTCGATAGAAAATGGAAGCACCAATTTTTAGTGGGGAGGAAGGTGGAAGTATGAGAGGCGGTAAGTACCCTATTGGAAATACATTTTCAGTATAAGAAAATTATAACACCAACACAAGTGCAACACAATATTCAATTCTACCAAACTATCAGTTCGAGTTTCGATAGAAAATGGAAGCACCAATTTTTTGTGGGGAGGAAGGTGGAAGTATGAGAGGAGGTAAGTACCCTATTGGAAATAATTTTCAGTATAAGAAAATTATAACTTCTGATATGCACCATTACCTCCTCTCACATAAATAGCTAGAATCCCATATTGAAAAGATGGAGGGACTGGTGCAAGAAAAAGAAAAAAGCATCCGAAGTGTAGATCCCTGTAGTAGAAGATTGTATGAAGGAGACCACACCACTTCTGTATCACGTATACTCTACACCCACTGTGGAAAGATGTTACATATATGAGTGGAAAGATGGAGGAGCACATCCAAGTGGGAGAGAACTATAGCAGGATAGGGATTCAAACTATACAATATTTATTAAACTCAAGCCCAGAAAACATAAAAGTAGACAGAATTAAAAGAATGTGCCCCCAGGTGTAGAGTAGCTAGGTCATGACGAACCATACATGACAAGTCAATTACATTCAAAATCCATGCCGCTGCAAACCAACATCCATGTGGGGGTAGGAAAGAGGATCATATCTTCACCACAACATCATGAGACCAGAGGTAATCTCGTATCCCCCCAAACCATGAACGGGGCACATTAAAACAATGTGATAAATGATCGATCCAGGAATCTGACATCTGGCATTGAACAGGTGTCTATGTAATGTAAACCATCTCATTCAAATTTAACATGACAGGAGCCTCTCCAAGCATAGTAACATCCTTGGAATACTAAGATCAAGGGATAGTGGAAGGGAAGAACTGTAGTAATCTGCAAGTACCTCCATTGTGACCCACAACACAGATGGAGTAACAAGAGTATAATTGAGTGAGGGAATAGAAACATCTATAATGTTAGGTCATTAAGAAATTAAT